GGTTTACGCGTGGGGCTACAACGGAAATGGCCAGCTGGGGTTGGGAAGCAGTGGCAACCAGCCAACACCGTGCCGAATAGCAGCTCTTCAAGGTATTCGTGTGGAGCAGGTGTGTTTATTTAATGATTTCCTGTAATCTAAATACGAGGCTGTAATACATGACACATGAGTTCTGCAGAGAAGAAAATCTTATCTGCAAATGGAAAAATTGAGTGTTTTCTTTCCTGCCTGTGTGATATAAGCCAGGCTGGTGGTTACAGAAATGTGTAATAGATCTAAAAAGAGAAACGTTATCGGTTAAAGTTTTTAGATCTACTTGTGAAAGTGATCAGCTCAACTAATATTTGCTCATATGCAGTGCTGGTGACTTAGGTTAGGTATACACTAGGGATGCACCGATACCGTTTTTTTGGTTTGAGTACAGGTACTGACGTTTTTTTCCTAGGAAGCATGGCTTCCTGACCAATCGGGAAGCTGGGAGGCGGGTCATTATGTGCTGCCCGGCTTCCTGATTGGTTAGGAAGCCAGGCTACCTTGCAACAAGTGAAGCTGAGTTCCTAGCCAATTGGGAGGCGGGTCATAATGCACTGCCCAGCTTCCTGATTGGAAGGGAAGCCGGCTCCATGCTCCCTCAGCACTGCCAGTCAGAGGGAGATCTCCCTCTGACCAGAAGTTCTGGTATCGGAGGCAAGTATCGGAGCATTTGGGACAAGTACCAGTAGTAGGCCAAATACTCGGTATCGGTGCATCATCCCTAGTATACACAGTTTCTGGATGCAGAAGAGTATCCAACTCCTGTGTTTTTGTTTTCTTTATTTTTAAACTCTATTTTCAAGAAAGACAATACAAGTGCATGAATATAACACAAAGATGGTCACCGATGCACATGTCAGGTATTAACCTGCATTTCAGTGTTATATGATAAGAAGGTAACATCATTGGTTCAGGAAACAGATCATAAACACAAGAGAACAATCAGCCCCCCTCCCTCCCCCCCCAACAATAGAAGAATAAAACGGGTATCTAAAGGGCCCTTAAAAGAAAAGAAAATAAACCCACGCATCTGAATAATCATTCCCGTTATTCTGTGCCCCTACTAGGGCCGAGAAGTGTGGGGAATGAAGAGGAAGAGAAGGAAAAGAAACAATTCTCATGTTGTTGGCAGCATTTGACCATTGGTTGGCCTGCAAGCCGAGGAAGAAATCAGCCGACTGCCCGCATGCATACAGAACCAATAGGCTTGGTACCCTTCTTCAGAGTTGGAAGCTACTAGGCCCTTGACTGGGGTTGAAACAACCTGATGAGAGGTTAATGTAAACAAATCTCAGAACATGGCCATACTTTTCCTTCCTCACAATGCAAGCCTACCAGTCAGGTCTGACTGACTAAAGCACTGCACTTTTGCCATGGCACAGCTTCTGTCTCAGTGATTGTTCTTAAGCTGGCTGTAGACTGCTCCAATTTTGATCGATTCCTGCTGAATTAGCCCGTTGGGTGAACAGTGACTTCACCAATCATATGCAGTCACTGCTCAGGTATCCAGCTGCCACGGGTCATGGTGGCTACTGTGCTCCAAAGCCAGCAGGGAAGATTCCTTCATTCACGCTGTATAACGTGTATGGGGGAATCAAATGATTTATTGGGTTCACCCATGGGGCTGAACAAGAGAATTCCAAACATGTGATGCCTTGACCCGGCTAGATTTATAGATAGCCACTGACAGTATGTTTAAAATGTTATATATAATTCATCATGGAAGTATGGTACAGCAAGCATTTACAATTTGTAAAGTCACATGTAAAATGACTAAACATTACTACAACAATACAAAATGCGTGGATGTTCGATTTTCTTGATAAAAGATAGTTTCTTATCAAATGGCAGGCCTGAAATGGTTAAAGCGTACAAAATGTAACAAGAATCCTACTTCACCATTTCTAGCCTGCACAGGACGTTGTTTACATCAGTTCCGTACCCTGGCAGACTGGCTCACTGCCTACATTGTATTTATATTGCTATGCACATTGTAACCATTTCATGTCTGCCTGATTTGAAACTACACTTATCTTCCAGGGCAGCTCCAGCCAAAACATGTTATTTTCTAGTTTTGGATGAAGTGGAAGAAGTTTAATAGCGGTCTGTCTTTGATCATATACACTGCCTGGCCAAAACAAAAAAGTCACCGCCTTGATTTAGCTAGGCAAATAGGCAATTGGTTAAGTGTTATGATCTGGGCTTGCTTAATTGGTCAGGTCTAGGTGCAGTAATGTTATGTCCCCCCAAATAAATGAGGTCAGCTGCCTACCTGAATATACTGATTGATCAGGTTTTTCTATCAATGGAATTTTTCTTCCCTGATGGCACGGACATATTCCAACACGACAATAACAGGATTCATTGGGCTCAAATTGTGAAAGAGTGGTTCAGGGAGCATGAGACATCATTGTCACACATGGATTGGCCACCACAGAGTCCAGACCTTAACTCCATTGAGTATCTTTGGGATGTACTTGAGAAGACTATACACAGCGGTCCAACTCCCCCATCATCACTACAAGATCTTGGTGACAAATGAATGCCACTCTGGACGGCAATAAATGTTGTGTTGTTGTTTGTGTTGCTCACATCACAATGGGCGTATGCTCTTTAATAGCCTGTTCACATTCCTGGACACCATTATGTACAGTATGTGATTTTATAGGGCTCACTTACTTGCTGGTGGCTCTCATTAAAAAATAACTGCATATATTTATTTATCATTGATATAAATAATAAATGCTTGTTGCCTTGAAATATTGTTCACTACATTGTCTTACTCCAGATATTGAAAAGTTGTGTCTGGGGCTCCACTTTATTGTTTACCGTAAACGAACATTTTCTGACATGTAGTGAATTACTGTGCTTACTGTTCTAGTAATTGCTTACTGTCTTAAATGTCACCCCCTTTCCTGCTGACATTTTATTCCTCATACAAAGGACTCCTCCAGACCTACATTGCAGGATTTCCTGCCATCTAAAATGAATAAAGGCTCCAGAGTGTTTGGCAGATGATAAAAAGGCAGCCGTAGCAGGGAATGTTTGTTTTTGTTTTATCATGTATTCCTTTACTCAAAATGTTTTTCTGTTTTCTGTATTTATTTTTAGCTTTAATGTATTTAGAACTCTGAAGGTAATAATATTGTATTTTGTAGATTGTGTGTGGCTATGCGCATACACTAGCACTGACGGATGAAGGCGGAATGTATGCCTGGGGGGCCAACTCCTATGGACAGTTGGGTACAGGAAATAAGAGTAACCAGTCCTACCCCGTTCAAGTGTTTGTGGATAAAGAAAGGTAACTTTTTATTATGTTAATAACATTAAAGAAGTTTTGTGATGGGCTCCACAATGGGTTGGGGTGCTTTTATACACATTACTCTTGTTTTTTGATAGTAAAAGGTGCATAGAATAACAACATCAATACATACATAGACAAGCACATAATCAATCAAGGAAAAGCATGACAAGTTATCTTTGATAAAATATACTTTTGTTATTATTATTATTATAATTATACAGGATTTTAAAAGCGCCAACTGTTTGTGCAGTGCTTTACAAAATATGGGGAGACAGTACAAATACCATACGATACAAAAGCATTAGAAGGACACTGCTCATGGAAGCTTACAATCTACAAGGAGGGCCAAGTGATACAGGAGGTTATAACTGTAAGGGGTGAGCTGATTGAAGGGGTAGATGTACAGTGTTTAAGAGGAGGAGGAATAAGCTTCTCAGAAGTGGTGAGTTTTCAGGGATCGCCTAAAGGTGGACAGAGTAGGAGCATAGGAGACACTGGAGAAGTCCTGGAGGCGAGAATGGGATGAGGTGATGAAAGAGTTAGACAGCAGGAGGTCTTGGGAGGGGTGAGAGGATGGTTTGGGTGATATTTTCAGATGAGGATGGTGCTGTAGCTCAGGGCAGAGTTGTAGATGGCTTTGCATGGTTTTGTCATTTTGAATCTTATACTTTGGGCTATTGGAAACCTGTGGAGGGATTGACAGAGAGGGGTGGCGGCCACTGAACGGATGGTTAGGTGTATAAGTCTGGCATCAGCATTCATGATAGACTGAAGGGGGGAATAGCCTGTATAGAGTTAGACCAACAAGAAGGGTGTTGCAATAGTCAAGGTGAGATAAGAATGATTTAGTAGCTTTGTGGTGTCATTTGTTAAGAAAGTGACACATTTTGGAAATGTTACGAAGTTTAGGATGGCAAGAATTGGTCAGTGATTGGATGTGGGGCCTAAATATATAAAATATACAGATCATCAGCAAGTTGATGTGTCCTGTAGGACACGTGGAATAGGAGTCCTAGTCTAAAACAGTTCATATAATTAAATGCAAGCTATTGTATCAAAGTCCAAATGACTTATCAGAAGAAAAACTAGAACCAAAAATGTCATGTGCCACCTCCTACTACAAGAGCTTTGTGGAACTTAGTATTACCCATAAGACATCTCAGATCAAGAAGAAATATAAGGCACTGTGTTGTAGAAATACATGACTTGAGCTTGGGGTAGTAACAGTCTGTCTATCTGAAGGGCTTGAAGTCAATTGGAAAATAGAGCAGAGTCCCCCGTAAAAGAGAAGGGATATTAAGCAGCATAAAGTAAATATAATAGACTATCATATCATTAGCCTGTACTTGAGGAACACCTTTTAAGATTGGGTAGTTTCTGCATCTATTGGACAACAGGGAAATGGTTCAGCCTGTCCTGATAAGCCGCTCTTTGACAGCATGGTGCAGGTGACAGGTTCTTCTTATGGAGACAACAGTGGTCTATTAGACCTATAATGTCACCTCTGCACTCTGTTGATGCTGATTGAACTGTAGACTGTACTCGATCAGCTTCTTTCCTGGCCAGGGGTTTAACAGCTCTGAACCCAGAAGTGCTCAGAGCTGAGTGCTTCCATGTTTATTCTGCACAAGGTAGATGATTGATCGTATGTCTCATGCAGCTCTCCATCCTGACACCCACCATGGAGGTCCTGGGCACCCAGGAGAGACAGGACGTCGCCTTGTCCTACATGTAGAGGCGATCGGCTGCTGTAAAGAAGAATAACTTCTACTACATAGCCTGCAGGAAGGAGTGAATACGTAACCAAACTCAGCTGCTATAGCGTCTGGGAGTTTTAGTACATACAGACATTATAGTTACATCGACAGCAGCAAGAGGGTAAAAGAAGCCGTCTATGTCCTCTCTAGCTGCTTTTTATATGTGGAGTTCGTCTTAGAACTCCTCAAAGATTTTAAAGTTGGTTTCTAACAGCTTAGAAAAACCTGCTATGTGTTTACATTAGATGGCTGGCAGGCTACCAAAATTGTGGTGCAACAAAAATGGAATAGGGAAAGAGCTAAGGTTTCAATAAATGTGTTGTAAATGAATTCCACAATGCTTATAGATACAGAGAGGAATGAGGGCCTGCTTCAAAGTGTTATACTGCTTATTTAGAATATGTAAATATGTGCATGCACTGGGTACAGGTTCACTATAACGATTTCAGAATTTTCATTAGAGTTTTTGCATATAGCTTGATGTAATTGTTTGTTTGTTTAGCGTTGGTGTAGAGTGACTCAAAAAAATAACCCAAAACAATTTTAAAAAAACCCACAGGAGGCCACAGACATGTTTCTGAGGTAAGTATATGTCTGAGGTGGAGGAGGTGGGCTGGAGAAGCACAGCTGGAGGAAGGGAGGGTGCACTGTGATGGTGTACTTATCCACAAGCCCTACTATGTGTGCAGCTCATTGTGAACGTTGCATTAAATGTTCCAAAACCTCACATCAGCTCTGCAATAGAGAACAATTATTATAGCCATTAAATAGATTTTTTTGTTTGTTTTGATTTGTATAGATCTTTATTAATTCTGGCTACACGTTATAATCTGATTGTGCAATCTCTCTAAGATTACCAACAACTATGTAGTGTGAGGGCCTGACCTAATTAGAGTGAACCTTGCGGTACAATGTGCCGTCCCATTATAATATATGGCTCCTCTACACCTGTAAAAATCATCTGCTATTACTAGGTGCAAAATGTACCTGTAAAGAAAAAGTTATAATTTATAAAAGTTGTAAAAAAGTAATAATAATAATAATAAAAAAGTAAGAATTCTACTTGCCTTATCCCCCCGTCTTCCACATCACTGGGTGTGATGCCACTGTCCTTCCAGGAGGAGTCCTAGGGAATGCAGAGCAGGCAAAATCTCATTACACGAGCATCTTCCAGCATTGTTTGGCCTGCTCTCTATTCCCCAGGATCTGGCTGGAAGGAGTGTGACTTCATCCTCACCTAGGTGCCATAGGCTGAATACGGGGGTAAGTATAAATCTGCATAATCATGACAAATAAGAAGTGCATCAACCAATTAGAATTCACTTTTGTAGTGTAAATCCAGAGCATACTATGCTAGATTACATGAGCACATTGCGGCTGATGCACAACTCTTCCTGCCAGTGCTAGTGGCACTACTGCCACTAGATGGCGCTGAGGAGCAAATTAAATTCCTAGGGGTAGTAGTAGTGTGCAAATGGTGGAGGAGTTTTAAATCCGCACTAATATTTTTTCTTTCTTTCAAAATTGTAAACGCTCATTTTTTTAAAAATCTTTTTTTCAAGTGTTTGGACATTTTAGACCTTCTTGGTTCATGCGAGCACCTGCAGTGAATATTTGGTGAATGTCACTTTCACTGTTTAACAAGTCTTGATTGTATAAACATCAAAGGTTTGTCTTGTCTGACACATGTAGCACCGTACTTAGGGCCAGGGAAGGAAAGTCACCTCTGCAGATACATCCATATTCTAAATATTTAGTAAAATGACCCATAGCAGCCGTCTCAAGTCCTCGTATTTCATGTTCCTAACCAGAGATGGCTTAGCTTAATTTTTAGCAAGGTCTGCATATTTCTCAGTACAATGATATAAATATTTCAGTTTGCATACAGAATATATTATTTGCCAAGCAAGAAGCATTACTTATTTTAACTGACCATTCCTAAAATATTATATATGGACAACAGCTAAGTACAAGAGGAGTACAAGATATGTGAGGAATGCAGCAGGAGGACGTTTTCTGGTGAATTTCATCTGCCTTCTTACTGCAGTGTTTATATATTACAGTGTTTCTGCACTTTCTACTACATTAAACTGCATTTGTTTTGATGGAAAGTTTCAGTGGAATCATTTTGACTGAGTAATAAAACTGTAAGTGTCACTGAGGTGTAGGGCTGCAACCAACTAATCAATGAATCGATAACATTAGATAATGAGAATAGTTGTCAACTATTCTCAATATCGTTTAGTTGGTTGGATCCCCTAGCTCTCTCCTCCATGCTGAGAGGAGGGCAGCAGTGGGCGGGTGCAATAACCAGCCTGCTATTGGCTATTGCAATTTGAAATGGCCAACATCAGGCTGTCTATTGCACCAGCCCACTCCCTGCTGTATTTACATTCAGCTGCCATCTGTGGAATCTTGCCACTGGCAGCTGTCAATCCCTGGCTGAAGCTATTCAAGCGTCATGTGCTTACAATACAATTATAAAAAAAAAAAATTATACAAAATGGGGAAAAAGTCATTTTCGGTTTCAGCCTGACCAATTCTGCTGCGGGAGGTGCCTTGCAATGCCATTAATTTCAATGGCACCCCAAACGCACCTCCCACCCACAGTGTGATCGCCCACACTGGAATGCATGCTACTGCAATGCCATGCGTTCCAGTGCAGTGCAATTGCAAAAAATTGTGCATGCAGTTTTATCCTGAAGTAAACGTCATGTTTGTAACACAGCATTTGTGTATTTTATTTTACATTAAAGATGGTATTTATTTCATTTTTTTATCCAATTAATCAAAAAAATTATCGTGCAAGTAATCGATTATGAAAATAATCATTAGTTACAGCCCTACTGACGTGAGCCTGTTTGTGCCATGTTTGCGTTCATGTTGTGCATGGCGAGATCCCTGTAGTAAGGCAGACAAAGGGGCAGATTTTATTCATAGATAGATAGATAGATAGATAGATAGATCAGCATTCACATGACATTTCGCCACTAGATGGAGCAGAGGAACATAGGAATTTGCTTTGCTCCTCAACCCTATCTAGTGTAGTGCTGTGCGACCGGCATTCACCCAGCATATGGCTGGCATTGTAGTGGAATGCTGTGCGACCGGCATTCACCCAGCATATGGCTGGCATTGTAGTGGAATGCTGTGCGACCGGCATTCACCCAGCATATGGCCGGCATTGTAGTGGAATGCTGTGCGACCGGCATTCACCCAGCATATGGCCGGCATTGTAGTGGAATGCTGTGCGACCGGCATTCACCCAGCATATGGCTGGTTGCAAGGGCATCCCTAGCCTTTTCGTCGTGGGAGGGGAGTGGGAAGATAACCAGGGGGTTGGGTGTGGCCTCTGCATCATCTCCTCACGCAGCCTTGGCTCTGGCCGGCATCCCGCTCAGCTCCTGGCAACCAGTGACCACTCTGACTGCGACCCCACCACGTTACCCAAAGAGATGGCATCCGCCTCATTGGGATGCCTCTGGCTGGGTGGAAGATTTATAAATCAGCTACTAAGTGATATCTTCTGAGATTTAGACTACAGGTATACTGAGATTTAGACTACAGTTAAGTATACGACTGTATACCACAAAATATGATGCTACATATATGTATCGGTTTTATTATACTCCTGTGGCTAAACATAGCCTGTACTTTATTAGGATCTTTATTTGCTCAGAAATACCTGGGGATCCTGCCAGTTCCCCTCTCTTATTTCATTCTGACCACACCTGTAATGTTTCACTGTGTTGTCTTATGGGTTGTAGGAAGTTGTTATGGCTTCCTTGGTTATGGGCACTGTGCACGTTGCCACAGAGAGCAGGAAGGGGGCATGGCACACAGCATGCTGACAGCTAAACTGTGACCTGGGAGACTCGGTGTGTGTGACTGGAAGCAGAGGACAGAGGATGGACCCTGAGGTGCTGCCACACTAAATCTAAGAACAATACTCTAAGAAATAACACTGCAGGTCCCTGTCTGGGTATACGGCATACAATGAATATAGAATTATCGGATCTGACCACTTAGGGACATACTGGCAGTCTGTGTTTTCCTGCCTGCATGTAAAGAGCACTTCTCCTCATACAATCTAAGTAAATAAGACTCTGCTCATTACCACACTGTCTGGAGTTATTCATTAAAAGCACCAAAAAGAGGGGAAACACTACAACACCAAGCACAGAAGTGTATCTGGGCTGGCATGGTCAGTTGTGTGTAGCTTCCCACTGCTTGGAGATGCCTGTACTTCCTATTGTCAGTTTGGCTGCCATTTTCTACTGCCCTGCCCTGCTGTAATGATTTACAGAGCAGGAGCCTCACTTTTAACCCAGCAGCTGCTGGAACCCAATTGGCACAGATGGGGATCATCTACTGTGTGTTACATCATAACCCACCTACCCACTTGCTATGCTGACATGCAGGCATTCAAGGAGGCTGCGTGGTCACATGACCACAGATTAAACATTTTTTACAAAAGTACATTTTTTGGGAGGGAGACAGTAAATGCTATTAGAGATAATCGTATATAGAAATGAACTGCGCCAATAAGAAAGCTAGCAGCTACAAGGCACTGGAATGTACACCCACTGTGAGTGTGTATACGTTAAAAAGGAGGTGTCAGGGGTCTGTTTAGACCCCTGATATTTCCCCAAAACCCCCAACAGTAAAATTAAATAATAATCATAAAAAAAAAAACACAACCCCATCTCCCTGCAACACACACATATATAACATACACGTGCAACAGCGTGTAGCATATTGTGGTGTACTCCATGCACATGCGCTGCAGTGAGTTGTTAGAACACATCGCAGTGTATGATTTTTTTCCTTTTTAAAATAACATGAATTTAACTGTGGCAGCGCATGGCAAAGCGTTGTGATGCATTGCCGTGCATTGTGATCCGCTAAGTGGCAATTAAGTATATGTCTGTATCATTTTTTATCGTTTTATTCTACCGGGCCTGCGCTTTCAGAACATATATGGTTTGGGGGGGTCTTTTACAAATGCTAGCAACGCAGCAATAGAAAATCAAAACAATGGGGAAAATTGCAAAAATGGTCTGGCCAGCTGAGGTTTAAAGAGTTCCGGAAGGCTTGGCAGCGAAAGGGTTAAGGCAGCAAACACAAGGAGATGTTCCTAACGTGTCAATCTAGGCTCTCCCGTGTACAGCTAAAAAAATACCACACCTATTAATAAATAGTCTTTATTAGATGCATGCTGGGCAGTGGTATCCAGTACTTTGCCAGGGGTCATTTGTCAGGATTACCACTTCCCATTTGTACATTTCTCCCAACTTGTTTCAATTAGAATTTAAGAAAGACCACATATGAATAACTAATGTTAAAGGAGAACTATGGTGTCAGGGCTTTTCCCCATAGTTCTCCTTAGGGGAACGCGAGGACACAAACTAGCGTCCTCCCGTCACCCTAAGCTCAGTATACCGCGAGCTAACGCTCACGGTATACTGAGACGCTGAAGCGGATCCCGACAATTATGTCTGGATCCGCCCAGCTGCGTGAGTGACAGCTGGCTCTGCCTATCTAGAGGCAGAGCCAGCTGTACCCGCCCCCTCCCCGTCCGTTCCGCCAGTCAGCGCTGGCGGCTCGGAGCGGGGGGAATCCAGCCCCTCCCGTCAGAGAGCTGTGACAGGATTGAGAGGTGAGCGAACGCCAGTATGTGTTCGCTCACCTCCCGATCTACTGAGCCGACCTGTGACAATCTCATTGTCACAGGTCGGCTAGAACTATGAGGTGAGTGAAAAGCACTCGCCTCATAGTTCTCCTTTTTAAGGGGCGGCCTTATTGACCAATAAGAAAACTTGTTGTGGTTACATGCTAAGGAAAACTATTTTTGGGTAAATAAGGATCATGGAAAATGGGATTTCTTTGACAATGATAGTAAGGCTCTAAAAGACTAGACATCCGCTGTAATTTCTAGAAGGGTTGACTGTTTCCTGAGGTTTATATTATTCTGTCAGATCTAGTATTAGAGTCACAGCAATAAAGATAAGGCGCCATGTAACAAACAACGTGGCCAAACCTGCAGGCGTTTTATAGAGTGGAAGTATGACTCACTCTATAGGTGTGGTAGTGTCTGATAAGCAGTGAGTTTCCATTTACTGTAAACACTCTTCACTTACATTTCTCATTCATTATTTACAGCCTTTTTGGTTATTATCTATGCTGATTTTATGTATTCATATTTATTTTCAATTCCATCACCTAGAGGGTCACTTCTGTAGTGGCTGTTGGATTTATCATGCACACTGTAAGAATTTAGCTGGCTTTAAAGAAGAATTCCAGGCACACCTTTTCTTAACCCTTGTAGTGGAGCTGCCCCCGCACTGCAAGGGTTAAGTGCTTGTTTCTGTCTAAGGAAGATATTAACAAAAATATACTCACTGGAACCTCTGCTAGACCAGTACCTTCAGCCTCTCTGCTCCAACGATGGAATGTCCCTTGGCATCCTCGGGTCCAATACAGTGTATTGGATGTGATGACTTACAAGGCCTTAGACCGGAGTGGAGCGGAGGGGGAGCTTCTCTTGCTTAGTAAAGCGCTAGTGCACCCAAAACAGAGGGGTTTGTTCACTCACTTATATTTATATCCAAAAAATAAGAAATCTCGATGAGCTTAGAACCCCCTGGAGAGACAGTCATGACAATGGTCTAAACCTCGGAGCTTGTTGGTGTAAGCCTTCTCACAGACTTGTAAATGATCTTACATAGCAATAATTGTTTTGTGAACTCTAAAACTGGACTACGACCTCCTGTCCTGTACAGCCAAGGAAGGTGCCATCTTGGCCTCTATTTGGATTGCAGTTGCCGTGGTGCGGCACATGTGATCAGCTAGGACACCAGCCATTTGAGGCTTGAAAGTCCAGTTGAAAGCTGTATAAGCCCACTGGCATCCGTGATAGCTGGCTAAAAGTAACTGTTTTGGGAGACATTATATTGGTGGGTCTAGTTCCATTTGAATGATTGTAAATCTTGATGATGTTAATCTTTCAATGATCTGTAAAGGGTCAGTGAACATGCAGAAAGACTGTTCATAGGGTAAGCGATGAACAATCTTTCTGCATGTTTACTGACCCTTTAGAGATCTGCTCTACAGATTGATTTTTCCTAAAAACAATTGTTCTATGATCGTTCTTACATGAAATATTAAACTGGAAATTGCATGTTCCTTCAGACCACGATCCCAGGAGTAGACAGCTTGAGGGTAAAAAGAAGCTCATGGCTAACTCAACTCTCCAAACACTGAAATATCCAACCTTTTATCTCTAGATGAATATGGCATTGCTTGATGAGAATGTAGAATCACTGTTCTAACTTGTGTAGAGTGGTAAGCCATTGAAGGAAACCATGTGTGATGTTTTAACCTTGGTATGTTTATTATTTAGCACATGTATTATTTGAAGTGTATGTGAGTGCTGATATTAGGCCTCACCCCTGCACATCTCATAATTTAATGGAACTGACAGATGTGTTTCTTATGTTCTATCATCCTTTAGGGATAAGGTAAAATAAATGTTTGCGGTAAGCTTGCACAGCTGCTTCATTAATCTTGTCTGTGTTGGTCTTCTGTTTCTGTGTGAATAGAATAGTAGAAATAGCAGCCTGCCACTCATCGCACACATCGGCTGCCAGATCTCAGAGTGGTCAGGTATACATGTGGGGCCAATGCCGAGGACAAGCTGTCATCTCACCGCATCTCACCCACTTCACCTGCACAGATGACGTGTTCGCCTGCTTCTCCACCCCAGCCATCATGTGGAGGCTGCTCTCTGTAGGTGAGGAAGATCAGAAGACCATTAATGTGTTCTGAATTGATCACCTGGCCATAGCATGCACATTGTACAGCTGTAGGCTTAATTAATAAGACTGGGATGACTTAGTGCAGGAAGCCACAGCATCCCGCCAGATATCACTTTGTTAGCGAAGGGTACATTCTGGTTGGGTTATTCTAGCCTGTCATTTTTTTGTACAATTTAAATGCATGTCTATAAGCACTTTTTTATTTATGCGTTATGACAGAAAAGCATTTTCCATGTTCCAGATGTGACACATCCTTTTTGTGTGTTTATAACTTAAGGGAGACTATTGAGTCTATTTTTTTTTGTTTGTTTGTTTGCAGTTCATTTTTAAAGGATTCCCAGACCACTGTGGGTTAGCTTAAGAGACAGCCCATCAGGCACAGCCTGCTGGAAAGCTCTGTTTATCTAATGGAAACCTTGGACTCATGCCATAAGGGAAGAGTCATTACAATGAGTCCTTCGGTTCTGTTTTTATGTTGCAGCTTCATTTCTGAGTCATTAAAGGAGAACTATGGGGTTAAGTCTTTTCCCCATAGTTCTCCTTAGGGTAACGGGAGGACACAAACTAGCATCCTCCCGTCACCCTAAGCTCAGTATATACTGAGACGCTGCAGTATAGCGCGAGCTACTGCTCGCGGTATACTGAGACGCCGCAACTGAAGCGGATCCCGACAATTGTGCCGGGATCCGCCCAGCTGCGTGACTGACAGCTGGCTCTGCCTATCTAGAGGCAGAGCCAGCTTTACCCGCCCCCTCCCCCGTCCGTTCCGCCAGTCAGCGCTGGCGGATCGGAGCGGGGGAATCCAGCCCCTCCCCTGTCACAGCAGAGAGCCGTGACAGGATCGAGAGGTGAGCGAACGCCGGTATGTGTTCGCTCACCTCCCGATCTACTGAGCCGACCTGTGACAGTCTCATTGTCACAGGTCGGCTAGAACTATGAGGTGAGTGAAAAGCACTCGCCTCATAGTTCTCCTTTAAGGCCAGTAAACAGGCTTTTCACAACAGGTTTAACATGTGTTAATGCACAGAAATGCTACATGTTCTTTAAAAAAAAATGCTGCGCTTTTGTGATTTAGATGTAAAGAATCACAGAGCAATTTATGACATTTCATGCCGTAAAATCGTTCATGAGCTCCGATTGAACAACCCTTTTGTCACTGACGATGACTCTGGTCCTTTAGAATTTAGCTCTATTTTAGAACACTAACGTCCTAATAATAGTATATCAGTCCTATATATGACATACATTGTGGCTACCTATCTTGGCTACGTTTTATTATCAATTTCTTTTTATACCGTGCCAACTTCTTGTGCAGTATTTTTACTCGCAGAACCTTTGACACCAGTTGTTTTCCCTCTAAAGGAGCCCTTAATCTATTGTTCCTACAATGCTCATACACACTAGAGCCAACGTAAGAGGAAGCCAATTACAGGTACCTACCTACCTGTAGACTGTGGAAGAAAACCAGAAAACTATGTTAAAACATGGATTACACACTCCATGCACATAGTGTTCTAAGTGACATCCTAACCAACAACCCATGGCTGCACACCAGAGTAAAGCCTTCCCAGCATTCCCTTTATTGAGTGTAAAAAATGTATTGAAATGAATTCAGGAAAATGTGCATGTTCAAATATTCCAGTTAAACTGATGAGAAAGTTGTTTATTTTCTGTATTTGCTCCCTCGTCAAGAACCAGATGATCACCTGACTGTAGCAGAGTCGCTGAAGAAGGAATTCGACAACCCTGAGACCGCAGACCTAAAGTTTTTAGTGGATGAAAAATACATTCATGTGCACAAAGTTCTTTTACAGATTAGGTAAGCGAGTGAACTGTTGTGAGTCAGTGATCAGTATTTGTATGAACTGCATTAAATGACTTATCAGTGCCGGTCACTGGTGTGAATAATACACCTGATTTTGTCTGTTCATGTTCAGATTCCCTGATTTCCTGGCAGGTTACAGTGTGATCATCTTAAGCACAATCAAAGTATTGCACATCTGTTTGAAGCCACAATTTTTATTACATTTTCTTACGTATCAAGACAATGCGGTCTACACCAGTGGTTCTCAACCTGCATAACTTTAGGACCCACATTTGCTCTTGGTCATTAAGTCGCGACCCAAGTCGCACAAAACTGGAGCGCACGGCATTGTTCCAGTGCATTCGATCAAACTGTGGGCGGGATTTGTGTTTGGAGTGCCATTCAAATGAAAGGCAACGCAATACACCTCCCGCACCAGAACAAACAGTAGGTGCGATTACGTGGTAGTTTGCGATTTAATACACTGGCAAAGCAAAACAAATGACAAACGCACTTAACAATTTGTTACCAGTTATACAGTAAGGTGCACACGAAATGGGCTTTGAACAGTAGAACAGTAGAAAGGCATCATGGCACACTCACAAACCAGCATGTAAAACAACTTGTCTCACCACTAATGACAATGACAGAGGTTTGGATAAACGTCTTCTGCAAAGGATGTGTAAGCCGCACTGCCGCGCCAAGGCACCTCTTATAGTGCGGTCCTAACTCTAAACTATGAGAGTCTCCATCTTGGAGCACATGGGGGCAGAAGATATCAAATTGGGTGCAGGCCTGTCAGGAGGACGCCCCACCTCCTTAAAGGTACAGAAACACACAAGGGATCCCGCACATCCCATTGGCAGCTGAGAAACCCCTGAGACAAGTTGTTTTACATGCTGGTTTGTGAGTGTGCCATGATGCCTTTCTACTGTTAATACACTGGCAGACACACACAACCACAGACACAATCTCACACACACATACACACCCCTAGAAACTAGTTTAGGGGTTCAGTGTGGGCTGCTGTACTGTGACGGAGCTCTCTCCATATGTGCATTGCTCGTACAGCTCCCTTGCACTCCCTGTAGAGGTGCCGGGAGCCAGAATGTGACGTCACTCCAGTCACATGAGGGAGCTGTAAGCAATGCACGTATGGCTGGAGCTTCCTCGCGGCCATACCCCCACCCCACCTCAAGCTGACACTTGACGCCAGGCAGCATATTTTGATTGGCTGCTCAGCACAAGAACTGACAGTGCTGCACTATGGAGGAGGTTGAGGAACATCTCACCTAGTGCAGTGGAAGGCATGCCGCGACCCACTTTTGGGTCGCGACCCACCAGTTGAGAACCATGGGTCTACACAATATAAAGTATAACACCAAGTCCACATTGCCATCCATAACCTGAAGAGGGAAACATTTTCATCAGTAGACTATATCCACACATATAACCATAGACATATGACTGAAGAGGGGGAGACAAGCAAACACTATGAGAGAATAGGAAAGGACGAGATGAGTCAATGAAGAAATGAGTCAGAAATAGAGAAAGGACAGCGAGAATTAAAATCAACCCCTAAAGCAAGAATTGGACTCACCGTCACCACCACCAACACTTCATTAATGATGTAAAAGAAGGGCTGTCTTACAATACAGACCAGTTGAACCAAGTGGCATGGAGCCGATCTATCCTGTCTTGTTCTGTGTGTACAATTTCCTCCATCTCCTGGACAAAGGTTACTTGTCTAATCCATTCCCTCACTGTGTATGAGTGGATCTCTAGTATCTAGACACTACCCTTCTAGCTGCATTAATGAGATGATTCCTTATTAGAGAATGTCTGTAGCGAGATGTAGAGCCAACTAAGCATGAAGGTGTCATTTGTATTGTGCCATCAACCACCTTCGAAATGATCCTGTGCCCTCTTTCCAAAAAGATTGGATCAAGGGACCCACCCAGGAAACATGTTGCTGAGATCCTTTTATTGACTCTGTGCAAAGGCTCTGTACCGGTAAGGGAAGGATTTTACAATTGGGCTCTTTAATGTGATTACAGACTGAACTTTTGAGGGTCATAAAACGAAATGTCTTTATATTGTTCCTGTGAAAATTGCACCTCCAGCATCCTTTCCTATTTCTTTTTGAAATTGGATGGATTGCTACCAGCTCCAGAACTAAGCAGAACATACAAAACTAAGATGAAATGTCTAGTATTCCTGTTACCTAAGACCATGGATTCAAATTCAGGCAGTTCCCTTCCCCAGAAAATTGTTCCATCTGCAAATGCCACCACGGTATGGAATCGCGCATAGCCCGAATATTCATCTCTGCTCAGGATAGGAGGTCTTTGAGGGGAATTTATCAAAACTGGAGCAGACACAAATCTGGAGCAGCTGTGCATGGCAACCAATCAGCATCCACCTTTCATTTTCAAAGCTTAAAGTGACATTAAACCCTCAGATTCTCATGTTGGGCAGAATTTATGTTTTGCAGCAGACTGCCTTGTCTCTGAAATGGATACATGGTGTCTGTCTGCAGGGTCACAACCTGAGCCAGCACTACAGGAAGAGGCCCTGAGCTGCAAAGGGAAGTTCTCCCCCAGCATGAGAAGACATGAGGATTTAGAAGGAAGAGCAGCAAAGAGAAGGGAAACATGGATTACAGTAAGGCGCACATTACAGTATTGGTTTGTTAAAAAATCTGAGGGTTTAATGTCACTTTAACTGAACAAACTGAAGAGAGAAGCTGATTGGCAACTGCTCCAGATTCTGTCTGCTCCAGTTTTAATAAATTCCCACCATTGCTTATAGACAGTACACTGATGATTATACCTTTGGTAAGGCCATACAATGCCACATAAATCAGCACAGATAGGCTTTTAAATTGCTGCTTAGCCATAGGGGTATACATATAGGCTTGAATATCAAATCACTGTAAAGGAAATTCACTATCGGGAATCAGGATATGCCAGGACCGCTGCCCCCTCAAAGACGTTCTACATTTTTGCCTTCTACAGCAGGAAATGCTGGTTTCTGTGACATTTGCCTTATTTAGAAAGCATAAAAAGGCTGCATCTCCTAACAGAAGTTACTAACTAACTAGACAAATCCAATGATTTACTGTTATTTTGCTATGGATACCTTTGTGTTCACAGTTTTGCTAATCTTTTACTTATTTTTGTAACTTTACTCTCAGGTGTGAACATTTCCGCTCACTTTTCCATGAAAGTGATGAAGACGTCATTGAAATGAATCAGTTTTCCTATCCAGTATATCGTGCTTTCTTGGAATATTTATACACCGATAATATCAGTATTTCTCCTGAGGATGCCATTGGTTAGTATATTCATCTATCTGTTACATTGTGTTTACTGACAGTTCCAGCTAACACTAAACACTCACTGAGCTGATGATCACTAGATTTGAGTTACTCCACCTGGGCAGCTTCAATGCCAAGGTCTTTGAACCATGACAGTTGTGTGTGGTTTCCTCACCTCATATGGAATTCCCATCAATTTCTGTCCAAGTGACAATGCTCATCAGGACTTCTAGATTGACTTTCCCTTGCCAGGACGCAGACAACAATACAAATGGTTGCCGGCTTCACTCAGCTCGTCAAACGTCGATTTCCTCGGCCATACAGTCACTGTTCCTTAGACACAGACAGCCCACAGCAGGAGATATGCGCCTCTCTATTTGTCCTGGTGATAGTTGCCACTGGGGTTGAAAGTGACAAAAAGTCCAGATGAGGTAAGGGTAACGCTTCCATTAGGGCCAATTGTTTCAGTGACAAATGTGAGGGACTTTCCTCACTTGGGAGAGATTTCCTTTCATTTCCTGTTGGGTCTGCTAGACAGGAAGAAGAGGGAAATCTCCCTACAAATTGTCAACTGATGGAAAAATGTTTTTATTCAATTTATCTGTATCCAAAACTAAGAAAAAAAAAAGTTTGGTCTTTAGATATACTCAAAGATAAAGCTTGTGGTCCACGTGCATTCCCTTTTTATGATCTCTTGTAGTGGGGAACAACATGCACTTGGTCAGTTTTGTGTTTTTGTACAGGAAGGTGGTGTATGTACTATACATGTCTGTGTATTGGCCATTAGTTGAATGTGTCTGTTCCTTTCTGTGTACAGGACTTCTGGAGCTCGCTACGATATACCGAGAAAATCGACTGAAGCATCTATGCCAGCAGACCATAAAACAAGGTATCTGTGAGGAGAATGCGGTCGTACTGCTGTCAGCTGCCGTTAAGTATGATGCCCAGGTACAAGGAAATGCTTTCTAAGTTGTATAAGCCTTAGTATATATCTCTGCCATTAATACATCCTTATTCTCAAACCCTAATACCACAGAGGACATTGAACTAAATATCATGTAAAGTCCTAGTTCAGGCAGACATTGATAGAAGGACCTCAATGCACTTTACTGACTCCGGACTGACCCTCCAATAGACTGTCTGTCCAATACGAAGTTGTGGGAGGGGATTGGTCAGCCATTTCATTTTTTTATTCACAAGTCCGTTTTTGTATAATAGGAAACTTTTGGCCTCCTGGGTCTTAAAAGATGTACCTTAAAGTCCATTTCCACCTTTGTAAGTGATTAGCATTTATTGTGGAGGAATGAATGTTTTATGAGGCCTACAAATTCTGTAATCAGCTTCCCCCCTCCCCGTCACCCATTGTAACATGATCAGTAAACACCAGCTCTGCCTTTACACACAATACATTGTCCATGGAAGGGGTGGGGCTGGTGGGGCTGTTGGGGGATATTTTCACATTTCTTGCACAGCACAGAGGCAGAAACTTTTATTCGGATATGAAGAGGAAAGCTAACAAAACGTAAGTTTCTGTGTTCATATACATCAGCTGCTTCATGTGTACTCAGTGTCCATTGCTGGCAACTGCTTTTTAAAAATACCTCGGCAGAGGTGGAAATGGGCTTTATTGGTAGTTACACAACAAATCAGACTTTCTATTTACCTAATGTGGCACATAGTAGGGGATATGTTTAAGAGGATGTCCATTCAAATGGAATATTCACCCCACTTGCCCAAGATAACCACCACTGCTAATTCTCTGAGATCCGGTGTCTGAAACCCTGGGGAATTGTACATGACAATCTTTGTGGAGACAACTGTCCTCTGTACCTGAAGCACCGATTTAGATGGAAGCTGCAGCCATCAATAGCCAAAATAATACAAATACAGAAAAGATTTCCACTTATGCTATTGGCATCCATTACATGGAGTCTGATTCACATGTACCAACACAAAAGACATGCAGGGTAGGAAGAAAATGTTATTGATTTTGCCATCACATTTACACTTTTTTTACTATTCCTAAACCGTATTTCAGTGCTTGTTTTTAACTTCTTCTTTTCGTGAATAACACTTCAGAAATTTCAATTGAGTGGACATCTCCTTTAAACTAAAACCAAATTCTCTTCTAAACTAATGACTGTTAATGAAGTTGTCCCTTCTTCTATCACTTCTATTTATAACCAATTGGTCGAGCCGTTCGCCCTGCGATTCTTTCTGAACGTTCGTTCTGTCTGAATAGATGAAAAAAAGGAAAAATCTTAGATACAGTGAAGAGAATTTATCAAAACTGGAGCAAAGAACATCTGGAGCAGCTGTGCATGGCAACCAATCAGCTTCCATCTTTCCTTGTCAAATCTTAACTGAACAGACTGAAGATAGAAGCTGATTGGTTGCCATGCACATCTGCTCCAGTTTTTGTCCGCTCCAGTTTTGATAAATTCCCCCCAGTATATTTTCTTCTCGGGTCCAATGTATGTAATGCTGCATATTGGCCACTATATGGCGCTGAGGAGCACAGGAAATAAACATGCTGCATCTAGTGGCCATTATGCAGTTCTACACTAGATACATGCCACCTAAAAAAGAAAATGTATCTTGGAATGTTTGTGTTTGCATCTATTCGCAAAAAAAGGTTCAGAAAGATTTGTAGGGTGAATGGCTCTGCAAATTGGTTATAAATAGCCTCCTTGGTGTTGCCGCACTACTAATTTCTATTGTGACTGATACATAAATATGCTTGGGTCTGATTTATGAACACTGGCGCAGCTTTCAATTTTTTTTTTTTTTTTAAACTTGCCCAAGATAACGAAAGATAAGCTATTGGGAAGTTCCCCTTTTTTTAGTGTTTACAAATCATCCCCATTGATTACTCAAAGGCCAGAGCGGTGTATTTCTTTCTTTTGTAACACTTCAGAGGATAGCTTTACATTGGGTAATAATGTTACGTTTTGGCTGCATTTAGAACATGTACTCCTTTTTATTTTAACCTCTGCAATGGCATCCCTACAGCAACCACCCTGTGCACTCTGTTTACACACTCCTGCCATGGCTGTTCTCATTAATGTGCCTGCAGGCTGTAGGAAAGTGTGTATTGTCTGCCCATCACTAACCATCTTGTGTAAGCCAGTCTGAGGCACACCGCGCCTGCTTGTCTGCAGCTTCTAGGCACAGCTGGGTGACATCCGGAGGTTGTATACAGTGACGGTGCCCACATGGCTGTGTAGGTGTGCAACTGCAAAGGGGAAAAAAAATATCTAATGCTATGTCAGTGCTTGGCGTTATTTTTTTTTAACGGTCTACAGCACTAATGTCCAAAAACACATTGAGGGGAATTGATCAAAACTGGAGCAGACAAAATCTGGAGCAGATGTGCATGGCAACCAATCGGCATCCAACTTTCATTTTCAAACCTTAACTGAACAAACTGAAGAGAGAAGCTAAATGGTTGCCATAGGCAACTGCTCCAGATTTTTCTGCTCCAGTATTGATAAATTCCCTCCATTTAGACCTTCAATGGAGGAATCGTTCAGGAAGTCTGGAATAATAAATACAGTCATGTGAAAAAGTTCTGATTAGAACCTTCTTGGAGGGTATGCAGGTGGAACCTTTCTTATTTAAACCTCCTATATGTAGGGTTGGGTGGTCTCTTTACCAGCGACGTGGGTGGTACCATCATGCCGAGTGAAAAAGGTGCTTTTGAGTCTGAACAGGAATTTAAAAAGATTGCCAAATTATTTGCAATAAATCATTCAACTGTTAGGAAAATTATCTTCAAGTGGCGTAGATTATAAACGACTGCTGATTTGTCCAGGACTGACCAGCCCAGCACATTCAGCCCAAGAGCTGACTATATGATGTTGAAAGAAATCTCAAAGAACCCCAAAATGTTATTGCAGGATCTACAAGTAACGCTTAGAATCAAGTTGAGTCCACTATGAATTTTGCATCTTATCAAAGTGTGCTGAGAATGTGAGGCCATCTGTCCAAAATTTGACGTTTAACCGGTAATGGATCTTTCCGCGCACTAATTATCTGAAGCACATTCGGAAATCTACCAAGAATGACTCAAATAGAAGAAATAGAGGGTTATGGACTGGCCTAGTCAAAGTCTTGGCTTAAATCCCAGTGAAATGCTGTGGAGGGATTTAATAGGGGCAGTTCATGCAAGGCAGCCACAAAGATTAAATGGAGACATTTTGCATGTAGGAGTGGTCATAACAGAGACGAGGTCAGAGACTGGTGGGCAGTTATGCAAAGTGCTTACATTTCTGCTTAACGGGCCAATAGCGGTGTGTGAGATCATGGATATACTTGTTTTCCCCACAGTACACCATTACATTTATTGATATTTGTGTTAAATAAATGATTAAGGAGGCAATACACATCTACACAATGAACAGTCTCCAAAGCCACATTTCTTTATGTTTTAGAATAAAATCTTACTTTTTTAACCCCTTTAGAAAGTCTGCTGTGCTCGCTCCCGTGTCTCTTCTCTCCCCTCACACTTCCTGTCCCTCAGTAAGAGCCGTGCACGTTGATTCTGGTCACGTGCACATCTTTCTTTCCCTACAACTCCCATGAGGCAGAGAGGAATCATCTCTCACTGTACACAGCTTCCTCCTCCCCCCTCACTATACACAGTGTGACTGTGTCACTGCTGTTAATCTCCTCTGCAATGCTCTGAATTATCAAAACTACTTACAACAAATCTACAACAAACATCAAGTTTACAACAATCTACACAGAAAAACACCTTTATTACAAATGTAGGAGCTATATTCTCTGTGACTGTGTGACCAGATTCAGCATGCGAGCTGAGGCTCAGAAGTAAGTATGAGGCTGGTGACCGCTCACATGCTGAATCTCCTCACATGGAGCTCCCCCGGCACTCCCTCCTTGGTGAGCCCGGAGGAGAGAAATCAAAGATCATATATTAGTGTGGGAGAGCTAAAGAAATCCCAGCTCCTCGCAGAGTCTAGAGGGGAGGATTTGTGGGCGGAGACTGAGAAGACACGCCCTCAGCATGTTGTAGTCTCTCACATGAACCAGCACAGAGGGTGGCTACTTTTCAGCTCTCATAGGGACCATGGAGAAGAAAAGTAGCCACCCTTCGGCAGAAAGTTGCGGCTGGAGCGAAATAAAACCGATTTTGGAGCATTTCGAGCTAAACAATGACAATAAAAAGTACACCGTCATTTATATAATAGATATTTTTATGATTTAATTTTGAGTTTAGTGTCGCTTTAAATGTATCACATGTATCTGTAGACATTGTATATGAAGATCTAATGTTTTAAATATGCCAGTTTTCCAGGTTGTATGGACTTTTTCACGTGACTGTACCTCACTTCCAGAAAGGTCTAGGCATTGTAACACATTATATACAAGCAGTCATTTAGCTTTGGCTGTAGATGTGTTTTTGCATTTGATGGAAATGAAACCTTTGTATTTCAGAAGTAGTATGGAACACAGGAACCCATCTATGAATACATTGTTCATGTACCATAAAGTATTATAAATCCCAAGGTCTTAATGGAAATGATTTGGCATACAGTAGAAGAATGACTTGGTGCATCGTTACTTATGTTTGGCATTTGTATCTAAAGCTGGTGTCTGTTTTCAGGATCTGGAAGAGTTTTGCTTCAGATTTTGCATAAACCATATGACCATGGTTACCCAGACGGACGCCTTTTGTAACATGGACAATGACCTCCTGAAGAATTTTATAAACCAGGCGAGCAAAGCTGGAGCTTTTAAGAACTGACAGAAATTTTGTATGAGGAGGTGGCTGCTTTTTCTATACCTTTTTTATAGAGCTAAACCCAAATGGCATTAAAAGCACTTGGTGTATTTACTGTTTGGTCAGATAATAAATGAATGAATTACTGGAGTTAACGTGACACTAAACCCAGGAAATCTTAAAAATGCATCCAACTACCTGAACTATTAACAAAATTGTATCTTATTTGTGTACCACTCCTCAAATCATCTCTGAATTGGTGCGGACACTGTCCTTCCTTCTGGAGGGTGGCTACCTTTGTTCCCCATCGTCCCTGTGTGTGTTGTAAAGTAGCTCCAGGCTCAGTAATGTGATGGACTACAATCTCAATACAAATTAGTAAACTAAACGTGAGATTGTAGTCCATCATGGGAGCGATCTTGGAGCGGTGACTACTTTACAACACACACAGGGACCATGGTGATCAAAAGTAGCCCCCCTCCAGAAGGAAGGAAAGTGTCGGCAGCAATTCAGAGATGATTGGAGAATCTACAGCCGTGTGATAGACAAATAAGATACATTTTTATTAATAGGGTACTATGGTGCATTTTTAAGATTTCCTGAGTTGTGTCACTTTAAGAAGGTCAGACCTGTGGATTTTAACAACCTATGACACTGTATGTTTTAGTACAAGTTGCAAAAATGAAAGCTAGCACCTTATCGGTCGTTTTATTTTATACACCCTCACCCCCAGCTAAAGCTTTGGGATTACTCAGCCTTTTATTTAAAGGGAAGCCGAGTTGGGAGGAGAGTATAGCCAGCCATTGCTGACAATGCTAGTTTGCCTGGCTGGCGATGATTTCCACACTTGGATTTTGCTGCCTACATATTCTGGGTCGATTGACTCAAATCTCCTAATCTGTATCATTGACTCTGAAAATATAGAAGCTAGAGGATCAGTCAATTAACATTTTCATAAGTTAGCAATGGCAGCTTACATTTGACCCCTACACCCATTTTACCTTTTTTCCCAGCAAAGACATTGGGCTTGGTGACCTCTGTTTTTTTCCTTTTTCAGGGAAGATGACTGCCGCCTGCATTGTGTTTTATAACAGCTGATTTAGAATCAAGTCGCACTCTCTAGTGGCTACTAGGTCAGGAGTTTATAGGACAAACTGCTAATGTAGCCACATTGGAATCACTCTTGATAGTCTTAACCGTAAATCAGCTATGATCATTTTATGAACCCAGTATATTATAAAGAAGGAAATGTCAGAAATGAAGTAACCCAACATTCATCATTGATGACACGGAAAATTTAGAGGGGATCTAAAAAAAAAAAAAAAAAAAGTAATAGGTGTGGGACAAGCCTTAAATGTTGGTGATTGTGTGTGAAGATTGTCTTTTCTGCTGTTTTTGTCATGTTCCGGTAAGATCAGCATACTCTAACACATGTGCTACTTCCTTTGCATTGCAACTAGTACTATGGGAATAGGTTATTTACCAGAGGCAGAGATATTTTATGAAGATTTTGTCACAAGTATCTAACAATAATATAAAACCCATGTCAATAGAGGTAACACTAGTAACTGGAAAGATGATAATGACAGTGATAGTTTTTAATTTTCATTTAACAAATTGGAATAATGTCCTTTTTAGACAAGGCGGGTTTATTTATTATGTTTTAATTTTTAATGTCAATAAAGTTTTGTTATGAAATGCACTGTCCAGTCCATTGCAGACAGTAGACACTTAAGAGATCAGCTTAAAAACACATTCCTGGTGTTATGCATACTTACAAAGCATTGTAGAGTGGTCTGGTACTGATCTGCTTTATTTACAATGGTAAGGAAAAAAAAATACAATAATATATAAATAATAATAAAAAAAAAAAATATGTGTCAGGTAAAAAAGGGTCTATGAATATTTTAAATTTTGAGCTTCAGGCTCCTTTTTCTCTTTCCATGTAATAAAGTATAACTAAAGATTTGAAAACTTGCTAGCAGGGCGGATTTGCATTGCAGAAGAGACATACTATGTTTCTGCTGCAGTAAATGCTTCTTTCCTTCCTGCTCACAAGATGCATTCCAATGTTCACGGAGCTGCGCATGCACAGCTCAAAGTATATTCACGAACATGGAGTTTACGTCATCCTGCCCTAGCCAAACAAAATGACTGAACACCCTGAACCAGGAACAAGGCAAATGGTAGCAGGAGGGAGACGTGGACTTTGCATTGTTTGAGGGCAGGTGAGTAGGGATGGGTTTAGGGCCGCTTAAAATAAAACACAAACATTGTTTAAAAAAAAAAAAGATAAATCAAAGGTTTTGGCTTTATATGTACGTTACATTCTATATATATATTTTTTAATTGAAGTGAAAAGGTGTTCACACAAACTATATAGGTTTAGAAACCCCCATTCTACATAAAAGTAGAATTAAACCTCTTAAGTTATAGTGCCGCCTTCAGGAGGATTGGACACTAGCAGACAAAAATAAGGCCAGCCCTAGGATAATTCCATCTACTACCAGCATGCCTGGGTTTTTTTTTTTTTTTTTGCTAGTGTGCTTGGAGAATGGGCATCTTGGCTCCTTTGATTTAAGACTTGACCTACTTTTTTTTTTCTCTCACAACCATTTTTTTGTTCATTCAAGATTTATCTACATTTGGCTGTAGGAGGTCTGCTCACTTTTTCACAGCTGCCTGGTGCAGTTGACTCAACCTTTGGTCTTCCTGCTACAGGCCATCGTGGCGTAAGTCTGGAACTGTCCCTCGTGCACTGGGCCCTGCTTGAATGCTTTTCACGCTGGTTCTGGTTACTTTATGTGCAGAGCACTTTTCAGGTCCAGAGCTGCTAGAATTGCCTTTCTGCTTGATCGGTCTCTGAAGTCTCACTTTTTCTTGTAGTAGGTTATTCCAGCCAGGAACTAAGACTCACTTCTTTGAGTAAGCCTTTAAGGCCAGGCACCAGGAGATCCCTCAATTTTATTGGTTACTGGGCCACAGATTTGTATCCCCTTTTTTCTGCTGGTTTGTCTTGGAAGAGGTTAACACAGTAGGAAGTTCTGATGTCAGGGGAAGTTTCAACTACATTCATGCAAGAATTGATGATGCAATTTTCCAAGCTAATCTCTGACTGTGGAGGCTGCCATGTAAACGCAGGACCATGTATTTCCCTGCAGTGCCTGATCTGCTTGTGGTCTCGGCTGTATCAGATATGGAAACTGTCTGATAGCACACTGCTTAGGTTGCTGCCTGATTACCTACCTCTAAAGAGTCATGGTCTTTTGCTATTACTCCTAAAGAAAGAAACAGCTTCTTCCCTTGTTGATGCAGTACATCACACCCTAAAACTGGAAGACTAGCCGTTGCTTCTAATAGTGCTGTATTCCCTCGGTCCTATAGAGCCCCTAAGGCACCTTCCTTCACACCCTCTTTTGAGTTGTTTCTGTATAAAGGTTGGAAGCACTTTGATAGGGTTTCTACACCTCACAAACACTTGTTGGCGATGTTCCCTCTTAATGAGAAGTGGTCCTCTGAAGATCTGGTTGACTCTTGACTTAAGGTGGCCATACACTGTACAACCATCGCAAGACCTTAGTCTTGCGATGGTTGAAAAGTGATTAAAAAAAAACGTACAATCTGCCCATCTTGGACAGGCAGATCGTACTCTCGATCATCGCAAGCCCGCCCCCCTGAGGGGCGGGCTTCCGATGACCGCAATGCTGAACGGGCAGTGTGCACGTGCACACACCGGCCCATTCGGCATTTGTCTCCCGAGCACCGTTCAAACCAGCTGAAAATCGTACGATTTTCGGCTGGTTTTCTAGCGTGCTCCTTAGACAAAAGACGTGCGACCGTGTAGTAGAAGCGGTCGCACGTCTTTGTTCACACTGCTCGATTCTCGTACGATCACGGGATTTCCCGCGATTCTCGTACGAGAATCGAGCAGTGTATGGGCACCTTTAAGGTGCATACCATTTTAGTGGAGGATGTTATTTCCTTTAAGGATCCCACTGGCTCTAAGCTCTTGATAGGAGCATGTTCTCTTTGGCAGGCTCAGCCCTGCATCGGTTCCGTCCGTAGTTCTCTTATGTCAGACCATGGCTGAATGGGTTAAATTCCTTAAAAGTGATTTGACCTATGCTGTCATTAACCTGCAAATCAATGATTACAGGGAGTAGCGGGCTTGGCTTTAAATTAGCAATGATGGTTTACTGGAAGCCTCCCACTTGACGTCTCACATTAGTCTTCTTTCAATACACTTAAATAAGGACTCTGTGGCTAAAGTGCTGGGCTGCAAAACATGGCTGCAAGAAAGGATTACACTGCATACTCTTCAGAGGACATCTCATCAGTCAGTATTGGATCATCAAGGATGCTACTAAGGGTAAGGGTGCTTGCCTTCCCAGTGGAAGAAGCCTAAGAAGCAGGCTTGCATTTGTCCTCCCCACTTTGATCATTCTTAGAAGCGTCTCTTGATTCACCATGCCCTCAACATCCACATTGAGATCCCTCCAAGATCAGTTCTTCCACCAACAGGACCCTCTTTGACATGAAGGTGGACTCCCCTCACTTTCTAGAGGTAGGAACATCTGATGGTCTTTGCAGACACCCGCTTGCGTTAAAGAGGTGGCATCCCAGGGTTACAAGCTCACGTTGAGCTGTTGTCAGGTTATCAGCTGGATTGAGTCAGACTACATCACGGCGGTGGCTTACATTAATCACCAGAGAGGAACAAGAAGTATTGCTGCAGCTTAAGAAGTAGTGTGAATCCTTTGTTCAGCAGAACATCATTTTCCAGCGCTGTCAAGCAATGTACATCCCTGATACTGACAATTGGGAGGCAGATTTTTTTTCTTCAGCCCACAATGTCTGAACCTCGGAGAATGGTCTGCACATCTGCAGGTGTTTCAGGACACTGGAGCTGGGCCTCCTGATTCAACAACAAACTGGACAGGTTTGTATCCAGGTCCAGTTTTGCAGAATTAAGATCAAGGGCATATAAGCGTTTCTCATCTGGCCTGGTAAGGTTTTTGTAGATGCATTGTGGGCTCTGCCCAACCATACGGATCTGCTATCCAAAGAACCTATTTAAAACCATACTTCTCGGTCGCTGACATGGCTGTTCCGGCCGTAGTAGAAAAACGG